CCCCATTTCTCCCTGGGGGGGCACCCACATGCTGGGATAACCCCCCCACACCCCTCAGCATCCCATGGGGACATGGGGGTGACACCTGGACCAGCATCGCTCCTGGTCCCCAGGGAGGATGGACACAGGCTGGAAGATGGTTCTGGGAGAGGGGAGGAGATGGTGGGGGGGTCCAGGGGGGCACCCAGGCTCTGTCCCCCGACTTACTTTCTTATTCTTCTCATACAGATCTTTCAAGAGCGCGTCCAGCTCGTTCTCATCGATGAAGCCGCTCCCATCCTGGATAATGAAGGAGGGATGTCAACAGGGGGAGGGACACGAGCCCCGCGAGCCCACCCCCCAGGCATGGGTGCAGGGGGCACCCCCAGAACCTTCCCCAGCACCGCCAGGACTAAACTCAGTGCTTGCACCCCAAATCAGAGCAGGGAACGGACCCAACTGGAAACACGTGGGGGTTGGGGTTGGTTTTTTGCAGATTATTGTTTCTTTGGGGCAGTTTTCTGGGGCCGGGTCCCTACCTTGTCATAGAAGGCAAAGATGGCGTTGAACTCCTCCGAGGACAGCTTCATCCCCTGCGCGGTGGCAAGGGACACAGGGCGTGAGGGAGGGGATGGAGGTGCAAGCAGGGAACAGGAATGGGGTGTTTTTTTTGTTTGGTTGCTTTTTTTTTTTTTTAAATTTTATTTTACCTGAAACTTCAGCAAGAAGTTTTCTTGCACAGGCAAAAGTCTGAAAAACAAGAAGTGCAGGGATGAAGCAGCTGGGAAAAGACACTTTTTTAAACCGAAATGACTTTTTCACTCAGAAACATGAGCAAGTGACAGAGGAAAACTCTCTTCCTTGGCAGCCTGAGCAGACTTTTCCCAGACGTGACCGTTTCGGGGTGTCTTTCCCTCCCCACCCGTGATCTTACCGGGACATCTCCGAGAGTCCCAGCTTCCCGTCACCATTCATGTCGAACATCCGCAGCTGCGGGGACGCAAGCAGCACCCGGTCACCCATCACCTCCTCCTCCCCTCCCTTTTCCCGCCGTGGGGCAGCAGGACCCCCGGGAGAGCCATGGCCCCCCAGGACCAGCCCAGAGCTCCCGCTTACGATGGTCTGGGTGTACTCCTGCAGCTTGGGTTCATCGTAGGGCCGGTTCGCCTTCTTCAGCAGGTCCGACAAGAAGCCCTGGAAGCAGAGGGCTTTGCTGGCTGTCCCTGTCCCTGCTGTCTGGGGGGATGCCCCACTGGCG